CTAACCCCCCCTTAGGATAATTAGTTAGGAAAAGTTTAAACCTAGAAGAAGTCTCCTTTTTAGGTAATAAGAAGTTATTATTTTATTCTCTAGATTTAACTAAATTATTTAGATTAGGCGAAAAGTCTTAGTTTTATTATTTAGATAGCCTATAATAGATATTCTCTTTTAATTTTAGTACTTAGTAATATTAGAGTAAGTAATTATATCTATATTAATTTATCTCTTACGGTATAAGCTATAAAGATATTTAGTCTATATATTTTACTCTTACCTTACCTAATCCTAACTAAGGGCTATAATAAATACCTAAAAAAACTAATTATTTATACCCTTAAATTAACCCTAATTCTTAATAGCTAGAGACTTTTTCGCTTATCTATATTAATTATTAATCTTAGATAATATAATCTAATTCTTAGATAAATATAGTTTAAGAAATTTAGTATTCTCTTATATTATTAAAAAGAATAACTTATTTAGCCTAAGAAGCTTAGTCTTAAGAATAATATAATTATAAAGATATTTATTATTCTCTCTTAGGCTATTTTAAAAAGATTAAAGCTAGATTCTTAATATTAAGAGAATACTAACTAATAAAATAGGTTATTTTATAACTTCTCCTAACTATAAATAGTTAAAAAGCTTTTTCTATTTAGGGGGTAACTAAGTCTATAACTTAGAGCCTCTATAGTAATTATAAAAATCTTAAAAATATTATATTAGTCCCTTAAATATAATTATATTTATTAGAGATATTAGATTTTATTAATATATTAGAAAGGAAGATAATAATATCTTTTTTATTTCTCTTTATAAGATTAATTATATCCTAAAAGAGAAGCGACATACCTAATAATAGGCTAAAGACTAAGAGATATAGAGTATAATCTTAGAGAAATACTATAAGTATATTAATTATTTCTTAAAATAGGATTTAAATATCTTACCGCTATACTAAGATATAACTAATTATTAGATCTTTCTTAATAAGAGAATAATACCTAAATATTACTCTCTTTATAAGTAGTCTAAGAAAGAACTTTAGGTAATAAAAGCTTATATTACTTAGAACCTTACCTAAGGCTTTATTATACTTAGTAAGGCCTCTTATATATCTTTTATCCTAATAGTTAGGAAAACTAATAGTAGTCTATAGCTCTATATAGATTATCGGAAGCTTAACGTATTTATAAAGAAAGACTATTACCCTTTATTACTTATTAATAAAATTCTTTAATAGCTTAGGAAGGCTAAGATACTTATAAGACTTAATATTTATTAAGGGTTCTATTAAATCCGAATATATCCTAACTTAGAGGATCTTACTACCTTTCGAATATATTATAGATTCTTTAAGTATAAGGTAATACCCTTTAGTATTATAAATAGGCCTACTATATTCTAAAGATTTATTAATAAGACACTAGGCGATTACCTAGATAATATCGCTATTATATTTATTAATAATATCCTAATTTATAGCGAGATAATTAAGGAATATATTTAGTATATAAAGAAGGTCCTATAATAACTCTATAAGGCTAGCCTATAGGCGAGCTTAGATAAATATAAGTTTTATTAGCAGAGTATCTATTTTCTAAGGTTTATTATTAGTACTAAAGGGGTCTATATAGATCTTACTAAGACTATTATTATTTAAGATTAATAATAATTTATAATAATTCGCGATATATAATTATTCCTTAGCTTCTGCGATTTTTATCAGAGGTTCGTTAAGAACTATAGCTAAATCGCGAAATTATTAAATTGCCTAATAAAAAATAATATACTCTTCAAATAAAGTAAGGCTTATAAAAGTGCCTTCTAGGAACTTAAGGAGAAGCTTACTTTAGCCTTAATCCTAATATATTATAATCTAATTATTCCGACTAAGATTAAAATTAATATATCCGATAAATATATTAGTAGAGTAATATCCTAATTATAACTTAATAAATATTAGTATTTAGTAAGCTTTTATTCGAAGAAGCTCGATTAAGCCTAATAATAGTATAATATATATAATTATAAAATACTTATAATTATCCTTATACTTAAGGAGTAAAGGGCAGAGCTTAAAGGCCTTTAGCGAGAGGATTAGTTTAGTATTTTCTCTAATTATTAAGCCTTATAATATTTTATAACTATTAAGAAACTAAATTTATATTAGGCTTATTAGGCTAAGTTCCTATTCTAATTTTATTTCTTAATCTATTATTTTATAGGGAAGCGAAATATTATTATAGATATCCTCTCCTAAAAAGATCTTAGTTTAGGAAATAGATAAGAATAGATTTTTCTCCCTTAATTATATCTTAAGTATAGCGTATACCCTAAAGATCGTGATAACCTTACCCCTACCTTAATTAGTATCTCCGAATATATTTTAATAGTTATTAGTAGCTCTAATATTATTACCTAAATAACGCTTATAAACTAATAATATAAGAGTCTTAAGAAATAATAAGAATTAATAAGAACTAATCTAAATAGACCTTAGAAACTATAAGATAGGCTATTATTAAATATAGGTTACTTAGTAATATTAGATAATAAGGACTTATAGGCCTAATTACTTAATAAGATCTATTAATAGCCCTTAATAATATATCCTAGATAAGATAAGATAAAGGCTCTCTTATTTATATAATATTTTTAGCTTAGATAGTCTACTAATATTAAATATTATATAGATAACTATTTAGTCTATAAGCATATAAAGATATAAAGAGACTAGCCCTTAGATCTATTATAATCTCTTCCCCCGCTAAACTATCTATAATAATATATTATAATAGATTTCTAATTATTCCTTAAAGATAAATAAGATTTTAATATAATATTTATAGTAATTAACTAATTAAATAAGCGGCTAGTCTCTCTTTTATATTATAAGATAATTAAAGCTTTAGAGATAGCCTAGTTATTTATCTCTAATATTATATAGTATTTTAGCCTATTAGACTTAATTATATTAGACTAAGGAAGCTAATTTATCTTAGAATTCTAAATAGAGGTCTACTAAGTCCTAAGAATTAAGCGTAAGCTATTAATAATATATTACCCTTAGATAGATAGCTAAAGCGAGATTATAAACTAATATATAATATAATAACTTTATATATTAGTAAATTAACGCTAAAATAATTAGTCTAATTAGCTTTTGGTAATAGATTTCGCTATTATAGCTCTATAGTAAGATTTTACTAAGAGGTCTCCCTTCTTTATTAAGTAAAGATATAAGCCCTAAATATCCTTTAACTAAGATATACCTATAGAACTATCTACGCCGCCTTAGTTAATATAAGATACTTAGGACTATATTTAGCGACTTTAAGAGGTCTAAAAAGATACCTAAAAAGAGATTAAATAAGCCTAAGAGCGTTAGCGCGCCTAGGCTAATAAATATCGCTAAGAAGTAGATTTTAATATTAGTAATCTTATCTTTATTATTACTAGGAATTAGAAACTTAACTAGCTAAGTAAAAAACTCTCTAATTAATTTAGTGGCCCCTATAAAATCCTCTTAAAGGAAGATTATAGCTATTAGCTTAACTTACTATTTTCTATTAAGATTAACCTAGTCTTTTCTCTAAATAAGCTCCGCTATATAGTAAGTTCCGATCCGCTTATAGGTTAGATTATAGACCTAGCTTTACTAATAGAAATTAACGACTAATAGAAATAGGAAGTCGATAAAATTATAGATATCCGATTATGTTATCGGAAGCTTTAATATAAGGCTAGGTGAATCGGAATTAAGGACGATAACTAATATCTCGTAGGGGATTTTAAAAATACTCCGAATAAGTTAATAGCTTTCTATAAGCGTTACCTAGCCCTACCCGGACCGTCTATATAGTTATTAGTGTGGTTAGACGCTACTTTAAATAATTACTTTGTGGATAATTATCCAGATAATAGAAGACCAGAGCCTCGGGGCGAGCCTCTTTAAATAGGGGGGACTATATAACGCATAAATATCTTATAGCCTGAGAGAGGCCTAAGGGGGAACGTGATCTGGAAGGAGCCATAGGTCTAACCCGATTTGGGATAGAAGTGGGTTTGTTTCGTAGATGCTCGTTTCCCTCTTTCTCTCTTCTTCTTCTTCTCTAGTTTAGTTGCTTCTGTTAATGATACACGAATTCTTCTTCGTCTTGGTCGGTAACAGTCGTTATAGGACTAGCGCTTATAGGTTCTCTATTATGCTCCTCTTAGATAGGATTATAAGCTAACGAGATTAAACTCAGTACGGTCGCAGTTTTAAACTAGCAGAATCTTCCTGTACCACTCCAAATGGAATTTGCCAATTCATCTATAAAGGTGGCGTAGGTGCTGATCCGGGCGGCTATTCCGATACTTCGGGAATCCTTAATCTGGCAGAGATCATCGATATAATTAATAGTAAGGATTTGTCAAAGGACGTTATTTTCGATAAGAAGGCAGCCGTCAAATAGGTGACATAGAACACCGACCAGTGGGTATCCTTTGATAACAGCGAAACGCTCGATATAAAGAGAAGCTTTGCAATGAGCCGATGCTTGGGCGGCACAATAGTATAAGTTGAATTTAACAGAAATCGGAATGAAAGAATCTGCATCTGACTCAATAGTTAGGTCTGGGCCATAGATCAAGTTGAACAAAATCCTAAAGAGGCTCAAGTTACGCAGCCAGTAAAGCTGAACAACAATCAGATACAATTAAAGAGTTATCTGGAACGCAATAATACAGCTCAGTCGGCATACTTTCTGTCAGACTGTGGCGAGAAGTGCCCAAGCGGAACCAACCCTATCGTGGATATATCAGGCGCACAGAGCATAGTCGGCATGTCATTAAATGAATGTGAGGAATTCAAAGAGCGGACTCTGTGCTGTGCAGATAGTACTATAGTTGGAAATTGTCAATGGCGAGGAGGCAGGGGACTAGGAATACCTTATTTCAGCGGATGCGAGATTGACGAGACAGAACTCATCCAAAGCACTCGCTACCGCCTAGACATGAAGTCTGGAGAGCTCGACTGTTCAGGAACACTTATGCTAGTTTTTGCTGCTCCGCCTTCTCAGCTCCTCCTAGTGGGGTCAGCTCCCAAGTAGACAGCAACCCGGATAGCGAAGAAAGCGACGATAACGACGACCCGATCATAGCTCAATTTGGTGACCAGGCCAAAGCTATTGCAGAGGCGGGTGCCGAACAAGTCGGATTAGATATTGCTACAAAATCACTCTGTACGCTGATTGTGACTGGCATTGAGGCCCTCCTTAACGGGGTAGAACTGGCGATTCCTCTTTTTAGTAAGTCGTCGTTCTTTTCTTTTTCGATTAAACTAATCTTGCAGCGCTAATTTCAATTTAGGGGAGATTACAATCGGCCTTGAAAGCTTGGCAGAAGTGTTTGCCAACCGATTTATCATCAAAGCATACAGCGACCTGGTCGAGAAGGAGGGCAAAGCTGCAATCAAAGCCACCGAAAACAAGCTCGAGCCCAAGAGAGTGACCAAGAGACCAACCAACACACGACCTCCGAAATCATCGCATACGTCAGCGAGAACACGAACTACAGATCAATATGGCATAAAGAGAGCCGACAATCCCAATTGCAAGCGACGAAAGAGGTCTGCCCGCACGACAACGGAAATCTCGGATCAGCTTCAAGGGCGCATAACAAGGACTATCACGCTAGACTGCGATAGATACCCTCAGCCGTGCTGGCACTACTCCTCGGTGATCAGTAATAACCCACACTCTGCGTATGTGACGTGCCCATACCGCCCTCAGCCGTTGACACAGCGTGGTGCGGTGGACGAGTGGAATAATAAGCATGATCGGGACCTCGTTGACGCAGATGTTGAATGTGAGGCGGATGAGTGGCCCGCTACAAAGTACATTGAGGTAAATAACGGCTACAAATATTTGGAGGGACATGGGAACCGAGTTCCAAAAGTTAAAAAACAATTTATTCGCCTTCTGTCTCAGGCCCAAAACGGAGCCGCTAGTCAAAAATTCAAAGGTTGCCCGAAAATGGCCAGAAGAGAAGATATTCAAACTGAGATCAGTTTGGAGGCTCCGGCGCACGAAGGACTGTATACTGAATAGACAAAGGTCAAGGCGGTCTACACCCGGGACGTTTTCTCAGTTTTGTTTAACAATTATATCGCTGCAGCGGACGGTGATAATGGCCTGACCCTCAATAAATATGCAAATCTGAAGGGCGTTAGTGACAAAATCAATTACCCTGGTTATCCGCTTCTCAACCGAGATCCGTAGTTTGAAACCGAGCAAGGAGAAGAAGAGGTACAATACGAAGAGCTCTACGATCTGGCAAATAAAATAAGAAAACGAGACTTCGTGCTCAACCCCCCCCGAGATCGTGGTAGTTGGAACTAATTCAAGCCGGAGACCCACGGACGAAGAGCTCCGCAAAAATTTTGGATTTATTCGATGTAAAGATAACTGTGGACAGGAGATTGCCAACCTTAAACAGGTTAAGCCTAATCTGAGAGTTCTGCGTCCTTCAAGCTCCAATTCGATGCCCGCACCTGTTATTGCCTCAACAACGTCTGTATCAGCCTCTATGACGGACGATATGACGACGAGTGAGCGACTCAGCAACTTCGATAATACAAATTTTCCCTAACACACGCTAGCCTAGAGAGCTATTGCGACTCAAAATGAAAATTGGCACTATAGCCAATATGCGATTTTTACAGTTGATATTGTAGACATAATTCGCGGAGTATTTGACATAATATCAATCTACACTCGATTGAGCTCCCTACAATCTACCTTTTTCGTCTATTTTTCCTGTGATCGTAGTAGAATTTCTCTAGTGCCTGCTGGCACGCCTCTCGATCGAAGAAATCCGGCCACCCATACTCGAGATAAATATCGCGTATCATCTGCAGATTGTGTTAAATCGGTGCGAACGCCGGGTCTGTCGCGAGAAGAAAAAAACAATACGACAAATCACCTACCTTTCCTTTATCATCGCCATATGAACCAGTTGGCTCCTCGTACCATTCATAGACTCTTGGCCAGGATCCAACCTTCTGCACCTCTGGGATCCAATTAAGTTTTTGAAATCTCTGCTTATAATATCCCAAGCGATCAACCAGTGGCTCAGTGTCTGGTTCACATTCAACGCGCCAATATCGCGGATCGTCCTCAGCGTAATCTGGCTTATATATAAACCCGTCGAGTGCGTATTCTGTTGCGGTACCTGGAACATAGATTAGAAACCTGACATCGAAGATACTTCGGGGGCGGAAGTGAGTTCGCGTACCGTCTGATGTGTCAAATATAAGCGATTTTCCGTATCTCCCCGAATCCGTGATATTAATCACCCATGGTGGGAACTTAAATTCATCGGGCACGACAGACACATACTTGCGAGGATCTTTGTTCACATAATCACATATAGTGCTCCATGGTCTGATATACCACGCATTGCGCCTGGAATCTAGGTATGGTAAGTGGCGAAGCAGTTCGATAACCTCGTCTGTTTTATTGAGAGAGGCAAACGCCTCATTTTCCTGGGTGATGTGCGGCCATCCTCCGGGTGGAGGATAGAGAATGTCGGTTGGCTCCACGTACAGCAGGGTGGTAAGAGATTCGTAAAGATCCGTTATAGCGGAAGTGGCCGCCTCACGATTGTATGTCGACGGCTTTTTAAGCCGAGGGTCTGAAGGATGCTGCATTCCTATGAAGGTGAAGGTGAAAAGGACAGACTTCAAGAATTTCCAAGATTATCATGTTCCTGGCGTACAATAGTTACGATACAAAAGATCTGTATTGATCGATACACCGTTTTAGCGGGTCGGATGGATACAAACAGTCCAGTGGTGTAACATAAGTATTTGACCTCGAGTACTTCGGCCTAGGGCCCACTTTTTAATACTGCCTGGCAGAAACCTCCGAAATTCAACCTATTTTAATAGCTAGTATGCCACCCTTTATATTTAATAATATTAGCCACCCTATGAGGCATAGTCTCTGATAGATACTTAATTATCTCAATATCTAGGCTTTCCCAAGCTTCCTGCGTAGCTTCTAGCAATAGATCTAGCGTAGATACGCTGTTTGGTAGGTGCATAAGTGTAAAGGAATACTGAGGACTAGCGGTGAAGGTTTGCCCCGCAGTGGGATAAGCAAGTCTCGGACCCAATTCGTACTTAAATCGAGAGGGTTTCCAATTAATCTAGACTTAGCAAGAATCAGTCTTGCTTCTACAATACTACACCTAGTCCAGACATCCTTCCTTACCTAACCGATAGGCTTTCTATCCTGAACACATAGATCCTTTATAATTCTGATTCTTCTTTTATCGGTTACCTAAGGAAGTATATCTATTAACGACTATATCCTCCGCTCCCGCGTCGCTACCGAAGGCGATAACACGCCTATATCGCACGAGGCTACTGCTACGTCCTAGCATAGAGACGCTACCGATTTAACCCCGGGACTAAACTAACCCGAGTTAATTTCTCCTAACCCGCTATAATACGAATCACTTCTAGGGGACCTACGCGGATATTAAGCGACCCATAGAGAACTCCGAAATAATAGCCAAACTATCGAAGATAAAATCGAACGCCTTAATAAGAAAATCCGCCTTCTTAAATGTATTCGGGAGCTTAAAGGGGACCGAACCGTGCCAGTTAAGATAAGGACCCGGCTACAAAATAAAGATAAATCGACCGCGAGTAACGATAAAAAGGGTATTAAAATCAAAGATATCCCTTCCTTTTTAAAGGACTTTAACCTCCGGAAACGTTAAGAGTGAATTCTTAACCTTAAATACTAATTCGAAGCCGACCTAAAATAATACCTTATAGACCGAGAAAAGGTATTCGCTAATATAGTAATAATAGAATATGACTATCGCTAAAGATAGCTATAATATATATATATAAAGCCTATAGAGGAATAATAAGAGCTTAAGAGCTTATAGATAACTTTTAAAGACTAAACGACTACCCTCCTATATAATATAGCTACCTTATAGGCTAATATAAGTGTTAGCCTTAGCTAAGTACGCTAAAGGCTATAAGATAATCCGGATTAATTCTATACTTATCTAGATAGCCTAGAATAATATTTTAAACGGAAAAGCGAAAAGGATAGTATAATATTCTATTACTCTAAGCTTAACTTAGCCCTTCGCTATTATATAAGCGAATATCTCCCTAGAGGATAACTACTAAAGATATACGATACTATAGTAAGTGAAGCGGGATATTTCTAGAACCTACTCTAAATAGCTAAGAAACGTCGCCGATTCGCCGACAAAACCAAGAGTATCGATACCTACTAGGACGCCTCGTATAATCCAGATATATATATAACTAGAGAAGGGATAACGCCTCCTAAAGATATAAGGAATAATAACCCTTAAAGACTTAGCTAGGTTCCTTACGCTTTCGGGAAAGCCACGGCTATCATAACTTAAATAATATATATAGATTAACCACGAACTAAGACTAAAACCTACTACGCTTAGGATTAGAACCCTAATATTATTAATATTACGAATTCGGCTATATCGCCCTAAATTACACTAAAGATAGACTAAATATATACCCCGCGCGTATCTAATCCTTAAGGAACTCGGGAAAAGAGAATAAGTCGAAGTGAGCCCTACCCTTATAACTCTAGACCCTAAGATAGGGACTACCTTACGCTTTTATATCCTAATTCGAGTACGGAACGCCCTCGTTATATACGCGGACTTAGACAGTTACGCTAAAGTTAATCTAGTTAGCTATTAATTCGTAAAAAAGTATAACCTAGAATATACCTTAGCTACCGCTCTAACTATTTAGGTAATCTCGAACCAAAAGATTATCTTCTATAGGGTATAGAAAGTCCCTATTACTATTACTAACTCGAGGGGGATACCCTATAGCTTTATAAGATAATATATAGCTATAGATAAGGACTTACGCCTAGAAGGTAGCCCCGTCCTTTTATCGATAACTATAATTTAAGACCTTTAAATCTATTTATTATTAGACCGATAATAGTGATTTAAGGCAAAAGAGTTCTTCTTATTTAGCCCGTAGTAATTCACTAAGGCCTACTAAAACTATACCTATATTTATACCGCGATTTAAATACCAGAAGATATATAGCTTCTAGAGAATAATAAAGAAATAGAGACTATATCCGAACTAACACTATTAGATAAACTAGAGATATTTCGTAATATATTCGCGGCTAATTAATTAAAGATTTTACTAATATAAAAGTTAACTAACTATACTATCGAACTTAAGGAAGGGGTATTACCCCCCCTATAAGCTAATATACCCCCTCTCGCAAACCGAACTCACGGAATTAAGGAGATATCTTAATAAAAACCTTATAAATAGATATATCCGACCCTCTAAGAGTCCCGTAGGGGCACTAATCCTCTTCGTGCCAAAAAAGGATAGTAATTTATATCTCTATATAGACTACCGAGGATTAAATAAAGTCTTAGTTAAGAATCGCTATTCTTTACCCCTTATTTCGGAGATCATTAACCGCCTTTCGGGTATAAAATACTTTAGCAAAATCGATATATAGGATATATATTACTGAATCCGAATAAGAGAGGGCGAAGAATAGAAAATAGCCTTCCGGATATAATATAGCCACTATAAATATATAGTAATACTATTTAGACTCACTAACGCACTAACTACCTTTTAAAATTATATTTATACCGCGTTACGTGGCCTACTTAATATAATCTATATTATATACCTAGATAATATCCTTATCTTCTTATTAGATTATAAGTTATATACGAAATACCTTCGATAAGTCCTCGAAAGGCTAAAGGAAGTATAGCTCTACGCAAAAATATCTAAATATATATTTTACTAAGACTAAATAGAATTCCTTGGCTTTATAATTAGTAGCTAAGGTATCTTAATAGACCTATAACGCGTTATCGCTATCGCGTCCTAGGAAATACCTAAAATATTCTATAATATCTAAGTATTCCTAGGATTCTATAACTTCTACTAGCGTTTTATTAAAGGATACTCCCTTATTATAGTCCCTCTTACTAACCTTCTAAAGGGAAGCCAGAATAGTAAGAAATAAGGGAATATAGATCTAAACGATATCGAAAAGATAATATTTTAATAACTAAAAGATACCTTTTAGTAAGCCCCACTCCTTAAATTCTTCGACTTAGTAAGATATATCCGAATTAAAACTAATATATCTAACTTAGGGATAGCTAGGATAATATTATAACCTAATAATAAAGAGCGATAGCACCCTATAGCGTTCTGATTAAGAAAATTTACTAGCGCAGAACTAAACTATAGTACCTCGGACTAGGAACTATTCGCTATTATATATTTATTTAAGTAATAGCGATATTACTTAGAAGAAAGTAAGTACCCTATTAAGGTTCTCTCTAATTATTTAAACCTCTAGGGCTTTATAAAATAGCTAAAAATTAATAGACGCTAAGCCTAATAATATTTATTCTTTACCTCCTTTAATTTTATAATTAAATACCGAGTAGGTAAAATAAATCCCGCTAATAGCCTCTCACGATAGCTAAATAAAGATATAGCTCTAAGAATAAAGCTTCTAAACCCTATTCGAGAGCGAATCGTAAGTATTCTCGGAGGTTAAACTAAGAGACCTCTTAGCCGGCAAATCCTAGTTAGAGTATAATAACTAGGAAGAACCTAAACTCCGTATACGAATCCCTATTAATACCTAAGTGAATCGAGGCTAAGGCAATATAGAAATAGCTAACTAAGCTATCTAAGAGGAGTTAAGTCACGCTTAATAGTTACCCTAGAGTATAGTATAGAGTGCTAATACTAGTAAGAACGCTTATATAGAGTATATAAGCGCTAATCTACGAATTTAGGTTAAGAGAATCTAGAATAACGATTCAGAGACTTAGAGCTAAAAGATAGCTATTTCGTAAGGGAAATAATATATAAAAGAATAGTCTATTAATCTCGATAGCCTACTACGCTATAGAATACGCCTTTATATCCCTACAGGGAGTAACCTAAAACAGAAATTACTATAAATCTACTACGATAATCCCTTAGTAAGACACTTTAGGAAATATAGGATAACAGAGCTCCTATAACAGAAATATTATTAGACGAATATATACTAAGATATTATAGAATATATAAAAACCTACTCTATCTACTAAGGAACTATAGTACCTTAGTATAGGCTATATAGTAACCTCGAATCCCTACTATAACCTTTATGACTATTCGCTAAAATCTCTATAGACTTTATTATAGGTCTACCCTTAGTGATCTATAAGAATAAGCCTTATAATATAATCTTAGTTATTATCTGCCGCTTTACGAAATAGTGCCGATTTATCCCCGTTTTAATAGTGATTAACGCTAGTTCCCTTACTATTATAATATATTATAAGATTAAACTCTAGTTTAGCCTATTAGAAGGTATTATATCCGATAGAGGCCCTATCTTTACTAGTAAATTCTGGTTAAAACTATATTTCTACTTAAGGATAAAACTCCGATTTTCTACGGCTTTTTACCCACAGACAGATAGCTAAATAGAAAGGATAAATTAAACCCTTAAGTATTACTTATAGTATTTTATAGATACCGAGTAATAAATATAGCCGAATCTACTACGAATTATAGAGTTTATATATAATAATACTATAAATGCTATTATAGGTATCTCG